TCATATTTGGATGCCTGCACAGCAGATCCGTCAGACTGAGCTCCCAGGCAGACTTCACAGGCTGACAAAGGTTCATGTTTTCTTGTTATTGTGAAGATTTCGTTCTTTTTAAAAAACAGATATCCGCTCGTCTCAGGCTGTGCTCTGTATTTGTGCTGCAGCGAGTTAATGATCCAACACAGATCAGCGGGTCCACGTCTGAGCGGCTGAAGGAAAACAGAATGAAGTTCGGAGAGGCCCGGTCCTGACCTGATGCTGTGGCACGACCTTAAAGAGCAGTTTGTGCTCAAAAACCCTCCAAAGTGGCTGAACTACAACAAATCTGCAAAGATGAGTGTGACAGCTGCACAGCTGCAAAAGACTCACTGCCAACACCGGTGGCCCAAATAGTTGTTAGGATTGGTCTATCACTTCCTCACTCCGCTGTGACTGACGGTAAATCACAGTAATAAAATAAGAACAAGTCTTTCTTCACTTCCACGGTTTGTCCTGCTGCAGCTCTGCGTGTTCCCTCCAGCTGCTGGTTTTTCGTTTGGTAATGATTTCTGGTGATCATCGATCACTCGCTCATATTTCCTGGCTCGGCGCTCAGAGGTGATGTTTTAAACTTGGAGCAGATGTGACTGCAGCTCTGGTGACACATCGTTGAGATCATTGCTTTTGTTTTGCTCGGGGTGGCCGTAGCCCGGGAGGCGGAGCAGGGCACCCACTAGGTTGGCCTGGTTGCGCTCCGATGTGTCGATTGGACTGCGAGCGTTGGGTAGGAAGCGCTGGTGTGAGTGAGTCGTGCTGCTTGAAGAGCTTCGAGCGCTGCAGCAGGCGCGGGAGGCAAACATCAGTGATGGATGTTGCAACTTCTGACTAGAATAACTTTGGCGTTTGCTGCGATGGATCGGCGCTGTCGAGCGACAGATTGCTGAGCGCGTTGGGTCGCACTGGCCCTGCAGTGCTCGGTTGTCATCGTGGATCGTAGTCTTCACACTTCCACACTTGTCTTGCATGACGGTGCTTTCTCTGCACAAACCTGTTGCGTCTGTCGTTTGTTCGACGTGTGGATTCTCTCCAGTTTCTCTCTTTCGGGTTCTTCTGCTTCTTTTTTTCCTTGTGTTGAAAGTAAGGAAACATTTGATAGAGATGGAGGAAGCTCGTTCCTGCTGACGGCGCCGAGTTTTTCGGTCTTGAAGGAAACATTGAGCACAGAACAAAAACACCCACAGTGTCCTGTTATATCCCAGTAAAGGATTATTTTTCCAGTGATCACACTGGTGAAAAAGATTTTTTCACACTTTCGTATTCAGACCCTTTGAGGCTGCTACAGTGAAACAGCTGAACGTGTCCTGTAAACTCGAGTTGTGTAAAAGTTGTTTGCTGTCGGGATTAAGATGTTTCTTTGCCCTTTGACCCCCACCTCTCTGAAACACCTCCAGCCTTCTCGTCTGTCCCGGGCAGCACTCGGAGAAAGCGGCAGAGAGCTGCTGGGTGTTCAACCTCCCGAGGGAAGAGATTGTCTGTTTTCTTTGTAACCGTGATGTTAGTAACGCTGAAATCAGCTCGTTTCTTCAGGGATCTCGGTGCGTTCTTCTGAGAAGCCTGATGACTAAGCAGAAAGTTGAAGCGGTGGCAGGCAGGGTGGAAACAATTTCTGTTCTTCTCAGATCTATGAAAACATACTCTGTCTCTCTGTGAGTGTTCGGGCCATGTGGGAGCCATCATTCCTGTCCTGTTAGTGGACCGCGGGCAGGGAGGAAGTTGCCAGCGGCGCACCAATGTGTGTAAACCCCACCAGGCTTGGCCTTGATTAAACCCCCATTATTATCTGACGGCTGGAGCAAGTAATTGGAGAAGGACACACACGTGCAGGCGCACGCACACACGTACGTGCAC